GTTTCTCCCCATTTAAGATGGTATTAGCTGTGGGTTTTTCATATTATCACCTTTATTATGTTGAGGTAGGTTCCCTCTAAACCTACTTTGTTGAGGTTTTTTATGATGAATGAATGTTTTACTTTGTCAAAACCTTTTTTTTTTTTTTGCATCATTTGGAATGATTATCTGATTCTTAAACTTTCTGTAATTAATGTGATGTATCACATTGATTTGTTGGCAAGTACTGAACTACCCTTGCAACCCAGGAATAAATCCCACTTGATTGTGGTGAATGATTTTTTTTAATGTATTGTTGAATTTGATTTGCTAGTATTATTTGAGGATTTTTGAATCTATGTTGATAAGAGATATTGGCCTATAATTCTCCTTTTTTTTTTAGTGTTTTTATCTAGTTTTGATATCAGGATGATGCTGGCCTCATAGAATAAATTTGGAAGTTTTCCTTCCTTATCTGTTTTTTTGGAATAGTTTGAGAAAAATAGATGTTAACTCTTCTTTAAATGTTTGGTAGAATTCGCCTGTGAAGCCATCTAGTCCTGAACTTCTGTTTGTTAGGAATGTTTTGATTACTGATTCAATTTCTTTGTTGGTTATTTGTCTGTTCAAGTTTCTATTTCTTCCTGTTTCAGTTTTGATAGTTTACATGTTTCTAGGAATTCTTCCATTTCTTTTATGTTGTCCAATTTGCTGGCATATAGTTTTTCATAATATTCTCTTGTAAATTTTTATATTTCTGTGGTGTTGGTTGTTATTTTTCCTCTCGCATTTGTGACTTTACTTATTTGGGTCCTTTCTCTTTTCTTCTTGGTAAGTCTGGCTAAAGGTTTATCAGTTTTATTGATTTTTTTCAAAGAAGATCTGGTTTCATTGATCTGTTCTATCGTGGGTTTTTGTTTGTTTGTTTGTTTGTTTGTTTCTATATCATTTATTCTTGCTCTAATCTTTATTATTTCCTTCCTTCTGCTGGCCCTAGGTTTTGTTTGTAGTTCTTTTTCTAGCTCCTTTAGATGTAAGGTTAGGTTGTTTATTTGAGATGTTTCTTGAGTTGGCCTGTATTGTTATATAATCTCTCTTAGGACCACTTCTGCTGCATCCCAAGGGTTTTGAACCATTCTGTTCTCAATTTTATTTGTTTCCATGTACTTATTTTCTTTTTTGGGTTGACCCAAAAAGCCATGAATGTGTTAACCCATTCATTGTTTGGTATCATATTATTTAACCTCCATGTATTTGTGTTCTTTCCAGATGTTTTCTTCTGGTTGACTTCTAGTTTCATAGTGTGTGGTGCATGGTATGACTTCATTCTTCTTATATTTGTTGAGGACTGTTTTGTGACCTAATATGTGATCTATTATGGAGAATTTTCCATGTGCACTTGAAAAGAATGTGTATTCTGCTGTTTGGGGATGGAATATTCTGAATATATCTGTTAATTCCATCTGGTCCAACATGTCATTTAAAGCCATTGTTTCCTTGTTGATTTTCTGTTTAGATCATCTCTCCATTGATGTAAATGGTGTGTTAAAGTCCCCTATTATTACTGTATTATTATCAATTAGTTCCTTTATGTTTGTTATTGTTTTAAGTATGTGGGTGCTTCACGTTAGGTACATAAATATTTACAACTGTTATATCTTCTTGTTGGATTGTCCCCTTTGTGATTATATAGGGTCCTTTTTTATCTCTTGTTACAGTCTTTTTTTTTTTTTTTAAGTCTAGTTTATTGGGATGCCTGGGTGGCTTAGTCGGTTAAAGGTCCAACTTCAGCTCAGGTCATGATCTCATGGTTTATGGGTTTGAGCCCCACATTGGGCTCTGTGCTAACAGCTCAGAGTCTGGAGTCTGCTTTGAATTCTGTGTCTCCCTCTCTCTCTGCCCCTCCTCTCTCTCTCTCTCTCTTTCTCTCTCAAAATTAAATAAACATTTTTCAAAAAGTAAAGTCAAGTTTATACAATATAAGTATTGTTACTCTGGCTTTCTTTTGACATCCATTTCATGATAAATACTTCTCTGTTCCTATATGTAGGCAGCATATAGATGGGCCTTATTTTTTTTTTTTTTTTACCCATTCTGACATTCTGTGTCTTTTGATTGCAGTGTTTAGCCCATTTACAAAGTCATTATTGATAGATATGTATTTATTGCCATTTTATTATTTTTCTTGTGGTTGTTTCCCGAGATTTTCTCTGATCCTTTCTCACCGCTTTCCTGGTTTTCTGATTTTCTTAGTGATATATTTGTATTTATTTCTTTTTATTCTTTGCATGTTTATTAGTGGTTTTTACTATATGGTTACCATTAGATTTGTCAATAACCTCCTCTGCATATTGCAGTCTATATTTAAAGTTGATGGTCATTTAACTTTGAACCCATTCTTTTCTCCTCTCCTGCACCATGTTTTAGGTATGTTATTATATTTTGTATCCTTTACTGATTTACTGATTTTGTGTTTTTCCTGCCTTTAGGTTGTCACTTTTTGTCTTTCCTTTCCACTCAAAGAATCTCTTCAAATATTTCTTAAAGGGCTATGTCAGTGGTCATGAATTCCTTCTGCTTTTGTTGATCTAGGAAACTCTTTATCTCTCCTTTCATGCTGAATGATAGCCTTGATGGATAGAGTGTTCTTGGCATCAGATTTTTCCCATTCAGCACTTTGAATATATCATGCCACTCCCTTCTGTCTTGCCAAGTTTCTGTTGTGAAACCTCCTGCTAGCCTTATGGATTTTCCCTTTTAAGTTAAAGACTCTTTTTATCTTGCTGCTTTTAAGATATTTTCTTTATTACTAAATTTTGCAAATTTAATTACGATATGTCTGGTGTGAGTCTACTTTTGTTGATTTTGATGGAAATTCTCTGTGCCTCCTAGATTGGGATGTCTATTTTCTTCCCCAGATTAGGGAAGTTTTCAGATATTATTTCTTCAAGTAAATTTTCTGCCCCTTTTTTTCTCTCTTCTTCTCCTGGGACTCCTATAAAACAAATGTTACTATGTTTGATGGAGCCACTGAGTTCCCTAAGCCTATTCTCATTTTGCATAATTCTTCTTTCTCTCTTTTGTTAAGCTTTATTGCTTTCCATTATTTTGTCTTCTAGGTCATTAATTCATTCCTCTGCTTCTTCCAACTTGATGTTCATTACATCAGGTGTGTTTCTAATCTTATTTATTGCACTCTTCACCTCTGACTGATTCTTTTTTTAACTCTTTTATCTCTGTGATAAGGGTCTCACTGATGCCCTCCATTCTTTTCTCAACTTTGGCGAGTATCCTTATCATGGTTTAAATTCTCCATCAGGCATGTTACTCATATATGTTTTGCTTAGATCTCTGGCCACAACTTTATCTTGTTCTTTCATTTGGGATAAATTCCTCTGGCTTCTCATTTTGTCTAAGTCTCTGCTTGCTTCTGTGTGTTAGAAAAGCCAGTTATGTCTCCTGTTCCTGAAAGTAATGACCTTATGAAGAAATAAGTTATTATCCAGGACCTGACACTTCAGGGAGTGTCTCCAGTGTGTGCTGCATATGCCCTACTATTTTGTTCCAGCTGCTCTACCCTTCAGGCTGTTCATTGGCAGAGGCTCCTCTTGCCTACTGTGGGCAATTATTGGCCCTTGGCCTGAATGTGGTGAGATGTAACTAGGTGTTCTCTAGTCTGCTTGTGAAATGAGACCTGTCACCACCTCCACCAGAATTGAGGCCCTGCAAAACTCTCTAGTAGGCAGATGTGGTGTGGTCAGGGATTTGTGTTGGTCTTCTTGCAGAGGAGCCTGCCACACTGGGACTGAGGCAGGCATGACCGAGAAAGGCCGTTCCACCAGAGTGCAGGGTGGTGGGGCTTAGTGTAAGCATGGTAGGCAGACAGTGCCAGCACTGTGCTTTTTCCTGCAGGTGGCTCTGTGTTTATGCTGAGGGATGGGGGAGAAAAATGGTGTTGGCAGCAACTTTGTTCCAGAGAAGTGGAGAGGCATCTCCTTGAAAGCTGCCTCTCAGAGACCTACTCCAAGAAGAGTGAATCATCTCCCCACTGTGCCTGAGGAGTTCTTCTTATAACTGTTTCCACACTGTATGCCCCTAGGTTGTCTGCCTGCCTTCTGTCCAAGAGCAGTGCAGTGCTTTTCAGGCTCTATCTCTGCCAAGCCTGTTAACCTTTAAAATTCTAGGCTTTAAGCCCCAGTGGGTGCAAAAACTCACAAAATTCAGCCCTTCTGATTTCCTAAGCCAATAGTATGGGAAACATTCTCATTTTGCATTCCCTTGTGTGCTCCTCTCTCTTGACCTTCTCTAAAACCATTACTCCCTCCCCTACACAGCAGCCAGGATCCATTTCTTCCCTAAACCATGTCTCTATACTTCCTGCCTTCTTCAATGTGACCTTTTCTCTCCTTTTAGTTGTGGAGTTTGTTCTTTCAGTCTTCAGGTTGATTTCTGGGGTACTAGGATGATTTTATAGTTACCTTGTATTTGTGGGACTAGGTGAGCCTAGGGTTTTCATACTCCACTAGCATCTCCTCCTTTCCAAAAATGAAGGAAGTTTTGATACATGTTACAATATTGGTGAAACTTGAAGACATTATGCCACATGAAATAAGTCAGAGACAAAAGAACAATGTGGTATGACTCTACTTATATAAAGCACTTTAAGTAATCAAATTAGAGGCAGAACACAAGAATTGTGGTTTCCAGGGGAACTGGGGAGGGAGAAAGGATGTTTTTTAATGGGGATAGAATTTCAGTCTGGGAAGATAAACAGTTTCTGAAAATAAATAGTGATTATGGTAGTGCAACAATGTGAAGGTACTTAATACCATAAAACTGCACACTTAAAAAGTATTAAAATGGAAAACTTTATGTTATATATATTTTAGCACAAAAAGAAAAGAGAGAATAGAGGTTGACAGATAGGTTAGGTGGGAAGATTATAAAGGAAAGCTAAGGTAAGGAAAATAAAACATGTTCAAGCATCACTTTTTCTTCAAATTTTGCCTTTGTTTATTCAGGGTTTACAAGGACCCCCTGGGAGTACAGGAGACAGAGGACTTGAAGGAGAACCAGTAAGTTTAACTTTTTATTTTTCTAATTGTATTTTCTTCATAATATACATTTACCTTCTTGTTATTGCCCTCCTGTACTGTGGTGGTACATTTTTGAAAGCAGAATTTATCATGGACACCTAATTCTATAGAAAATATTTTGCTGTGAATATAGTTTTTATTACCTTTCTGGTCTTATATTGTCAAATGTTCCTATCTCTCTGGAACTGCTAAAACTTCCCATATTTCTATTTTCAACAAAGACAGCTCTGTTTTATTGACTTACAGAAATTTTCTTTGTGAATGGCTAGCTGTTCTTATAATGATTATTACACTGCCACACACACACAATCATATTTTTGTGGCCAACTCTGTAATGAAATACCGTACAAAGAAGCCAAACTCTACATCTGATGGGCCCAAATGCACAAACATGACAGAAATGTTGGTACACCAGTAATGTAAAATCTTACATCACAATTTCATAAATGTGATTCGATTATAAAATTTCCATGGAAAATGATTGTTAAAAGGAAAGACTTTCTCACAACTTATTCTTTATTTCCTATGTAGTCATTCTTCTGGTTAATAGTATTAGGTGTAATATGCTATAACATGCTTGTAAGATTTATAATACAATATAGTCTTGGAAATTCTACTGGGTTGATCTTATCTATTAGTTGACCCAAAGGTTTACAGGTGGCCTTTGCATGATTCATTTAGCTAGTAGCAAGTGGAAAATTTAACAAAGAGCTATTCTTACCAAATTGTGTTCATTTCCTCCTTTACATATTTAATCTCTGGTGTAATCTCTCTAAGCAAGAAGTAAACATTTAACTGTAAATATAAATCTCTCCAAATAAAGAATTTTAAAAATGAGTTTATCAAATGAACTCTTTTTGGTTCTCTCCCTGTTTTATATCTCTTGTTGTATCCTAACCTTTATTTGACCAAAAATAATGCAACCGTCTTTAACATTATTTACTTAAATATCTCTTTCTTCTAAAAATTTTATATCTCTTTGAAGTTAGAGACCACTTTTCTCATGTTTATAATCCTGCCTGGTATAATACCTGGCATATTAGATCAATTTAGTGTATGTTTGTCAAACTGAATTAACAAAAGGTCTTATACCCAAAAAGCAAAATCAGTCAGCCAGTAATTTTAGATGCAGTGAAATGCAATGGAAACTAACTTAATAAGGAACACATTTAAGTAAAGTATGTCAAAAGAGCTATGCCAACAGCAGAGACAATAGCTTAGGCTTTATACAAGAAAATGTTTGTTACTATAAGTATAAACAATTTAATAGTTTAGTAGCACCTAAAACTTGACATTCAGGTCACTGGGTCAGTGGGTCTGGTAAATAAAATGCAAATAAGCTTATAATGGATGTTATGGGCTTTGCTTTGTATATTTGAGTTGCCTAGTTAAATTATAGAAAAGAAAGGAAGTAAATTGGTAAAATGAGAGACACAGAAGATATGTGGAGATTTATATTTTAAGAATACTAAGAGAGACCACATCTTTTCTATAGTCAAGACCCCTGAGAGTTGTCTTTTTCCCAGACAAGATTCAAACTAATTTGCTCATTGCAATGCAAATATTGGGGTTTGGATAGTTGACCATTCATTCATTCAGTCAACAAATATTCATTAAGTACCAGCACTGGGAGTATGGTGGTAAGTATGGAGGTTTCAGTATAATGATGTAAATATGTACTAATTAGATTATCACAGAGAACAATGGAAAACTGCAAACTGAGCTAAATGCTGTGAAGTACAGGCATTCAATTCTAAGAGAATGTATAACAGAGAAACTATCCTTAGGGAAGCCTTCAGGAGGAGGAGCATTTGAGCTGGGATCTGAAGAATGAATAGTAGTTACTTAGGCAAAGATGGGGAGAGGTCATTTTAGAGAGAACATGAGCTGAGAGGAAGCTCTGCGTATTTATTTGAAGATCTTAAAGAAGACTAGCCTGGTGGGGGCACAGAGTCAGGTAGGAAGTAAGTATAAGAAAAGGATGGCAAAAGAGGCAGAGAACAAAACATGTAGCTTTATGAGCCCTATTACCAAGGATTTGTATTTTTATCATACGAAGAAAATAATGTCATTGAAGAGATAGGGCTAGTTTTATGATGATATTATTGTGTTGCAAAGATTATTCAAACAAATTGGAAGGGACTAGGAATGGACAAGAACTGCTTTCTGTTACAATAATCCAAGTAAGAGATGGTAGAACCCTTTTGATTAGCAGAAAAAAAGAAGTGTATGGATATAAAAGATTCAAAAGGAGATATAAAATCTATAGGAGATAGATTTCCATATGTGAAGTATGATTCCTAAGTGTCTGGCTGACCCAAATAAATATTTTTGCTATCTTTAAACATTGAAAATTGCCTTTAAAAAGGAAGATGAGGGGAATGCTATAGTTTAAAAAAGGTCAATTCTTGATAAGCTTGCTTTAGAATATACCCTCCAATTTAAAAAATATTATTTTCTATGTACACTTCCTTAGTTGAGTACCAGAAGTCACTTCCACTTACCTTAAAAGATAATTATCAGGATTCTCAGGTTAATTAAAAGTATTTGATGAAAAGTAACATTAAATTACTCATGAAGATATTAAAAATGGCAAAAGTTCTAGAAACAAATGATGAAAGAAGATCCCATATCAGTGTCTCAGTAAAATTTTGACAATTCTAAAGCCATACAGAAAAAGAAAAAATGAAAGGCTAGAGATGAATTTCAATTAAATACCAAAAATATCAAGTAAAATCAGCTATATAAAAAGAATTAACTGAATGAAGTGAAAGATGATGCAAAAGAGGAATTACAAAGGGAAAATTACTTAATATTAAGAAATCCTTATTATAACATATAACAGATATACTGGGAAAATGCCAAAACCCAGTACTCATTAAAATTCAACAACTACTCTTGATTTATTAAAAATTTATAATAAAACGATTTCTGGTCTGAATTGTAAGGAACTTGGAAGCTGCCATTCCCCTTCTTACAATAAGGCAAAAGCCTAGCAAACTGAAAATCAACAACTCTTTTTAGATCAATGAGGTCAAAGGACAAACTATTGCCTGAAAACTGGAGAGACAGACAGGAGGATAGAGAGAACCAGAGCTTACCAGAAGCAGAAGCCTGTAATTGGATGGTAGGAGCACTTTAAACTATAATTGACAAATTGCTGAAGACACAGTTTAGAGTATCTTAAGTGTTAAAAAACTAAGAGAGGCTCCTAAGAAGGCCCCACTTGTTACTGAGTTTTACCTCCAGGAGACCTGCTAGGTTCTCACTATAAAGTTCAGAGAAATGTCTATTTCTGCATCTAGCAGTGGGATGGGAAAAATAACCACTTTGAAATATACCCAGAGTTCTCTGTTCTCCTTAACAAGGCTTGCCCTCAAGGGAACCTGTTTTGTCAGAGCTAACTGTTTGGGGTTTCACCAAAGCCTACTGAACTGGGAAGAACAATTCCCAGCCCTAGCCATTTCTATATCATAAAGCTATAGAATGCTTCTTCCCACCCCCCCACCTTAACTCACCACCACATAAATAGGGCTCCTATTTAATAGCTGAGGATTACAGCTAAAAGAACTACAGACACAAACCCTTTTAAAGGTGTCTCTGGGAAAGCCTGAAGACAATGGACAAGACAAACACAATGACACTAGGAGGAAATTTATCCTCTGACACCATAGTGCAGCAAACAGTAAACACAGCCTAATTCCCAGCCAGATAACATAAAACCTTACACTAAAGACCTATTTACCTTGGGTCGTTTTACATCTTACTTGGCTTTCAACAACAACAACAACAAAATATCGGATAAAAGGGGGGAAAGGATAAAAGGGGGAAAAAACAGTCTGAAGAGACAAAGCAAGCATCACGAACAGACTCAGATATGTCAGAGACTTAGAAATTTTCAGACTGGGAATTCAAAAGTGAAGTAGAAATATATTTTCTCAGACAAGCAAAAACTGTTGGAATTTGTCACGAGTAGACCAACCTTGTAAGAAATGTTAAAAGAAGTTCTTCATAGAGAAGGAAAATTATATAGATGAGACTCTAGAAACAGAAGAAAGGAAAAGCTTTAGAAGGAATATATAAAAGTAAGATCAAGTCATTTGTTTTTCTTATTCTTAATAGAACAGGTATTGGTGCAAAATGGTAATTGTAACAGTGTATTTAGTCTCACATTTTATGGCTAAGTATAGTGATATAGTGTTATTTGAAAATAGACTTGAATTCATTATAAATGTGCATTGCAAACTCTAGAGAAACCACTGAAAAATTTTTTAAAGAAGTATACTTGATATGGTAAAATAAGAGAGAAAATGGAATTAATTGAAATTCACAGCCGGCTAAAAAAAGGGTGGAAAACAAAACAAACAAAGAACAAGAGGAACAAATAGAAAACAGTAACAAAGTAGGTATGAACTCAACCATGTGGAAAACCCCAACAATTGACACACATACACAAAAACCACTCCTGGAACCAATAAGCAGTTATAACAAGGTTGCATGTGGGGCGCCTGGGTAGGTCAGTTGGTTAAGCATCCAACTCTTGATTTTGGCCCTGGTCATGATCTCACGGTTGGGACTCTGTGCTAACAACACGGAGCCTGCTTGGGATTCTCTCTCTCTCTCCCTCTCTTTCTCTGTCCCTCCCCTGATCTCTCTCTATCTCTCTGATCCTCCCCTGCTGGTTCTCTCTCTCAAAATAAATAAATAAACTTTTTAAAAAATAACAAGGTTTCAGAATACAACTTTCAAAAATACTTAAAAAAAGCTTTTACTCAAAATGGATTATAGACCTAAGTTTAAAATTTATAAAACTTCTATAAGTTAACATAAGAAGAAAATCTCACTGATCTTGGATTTAACAATGACTTTTTACATATAACACCAAAAGCATTATTTGTGAATGGAAAAATTGATAAGTTGGATTTCATTAAAATTAAAAACTTCTGCTCTGTGGAAGATATATTAAGAGAATGAAAGACATGCAACACACTGGGAAAAAACATTTGCAAAATGCAGATCTGATATGGGACTTGTATACAAAATACAGAAAGAACTCTTAAAAGTTAACAATAAGAGGGGCATCTGGGTGGCTCAGTTGGTTAAGCATCCGACTTCAGCTCAGGTCCTGATCCCACAGTTTGTGAGTTTCAGCCCCACATTGCGCTCTGTGCTGACAGCTCAGAGCCTGGATGCTGCTTCAGACTCTGTGTCTCCTCTCTCTCCGCCCTTCCCTGTCTTGTGCTCTGTCTCTCTCTTTCAAAAATAAATAAACATTTACAATTTTTTAAGTTAATAATAAGAAAACAAACAATCCGTTTAAAAAGTAGGCAAAAGATATGAACAGTCACTACACCAAAGACATACAGATGGCAAAGAAACATATGAAAATATGCTTGTCATATGTCATTAAAGAAGTACAAATTAAAACAGTGACATACTATTACATACCTATATGAATGGCTAAAATCTAAAACACTGACAATACCAAATGTTAACAAAGACGTGGAATAACCGAGTTTTCATTCATTGTTGATGGTAATACAGAATGGTACAGCAACTTTGGAACACAACTTGGCAGGTTTTTACAGAGCTAAACATATTCTTACCATTATGATCCAGCAATCATGCTC